TACCTTTCTTCAAAAACAAAAAAAAAAACAAAAACAAAAAAAAAACAAAAACAAAAACCCAAGGACAGAAAAATGGAAAAGTACATGATCAAAAACAGAGATACTACACACTTTCCTTCTCAGCAAACTGGCTTCCCACACTGTTAGCATTCAACCCATATCCAAGATCACCATTAGGAGTTCACAAGGGTTCTGACAATTAACACATTTGATTTTGCTAACTCTTGAGCCAAAAACCATGACCCACATTACTAAACGCTATCTCTATTGGGACAACAGAGGCCATCTCCAACACCAAAAAATCAGCTGTTCTGAAGAGGAGTACGCTTTTGTAGTTCTGGAACTACTTTTTGAACCACTAGTGTTTAGCCTATACTCTTAACTCTAGCCTATGAAAACACTTATAACCCAAGGACAAAGTATGATTTCTTATCATCCACATTTTATTAAAATGTCTCAGGCCTTGATGGATAAAGGTAAGAACCAAGTAGAATCAGGCATGGTAGCTCAAGTCTTTAGTCCTAGTACTTGGGAGACAGGCACAGAAGCAGGCAGATTTCTGGAGGTTCAAGGCCATTCTGGTCTATATATCAAGTTCCAGGCCAGCTGGGGATACATAGTGAGATCAGAGAGATAGAGAAACAAGAGGCAAAGAAACTAAGTTCAAATGTTTAGTCTCATAGCCTGATCTTGTGAAGTCATCTTGCTAAATTTGTTCACGGGCTTTTCAGAAGGTCATTATTTCAATCATGAAATTCTAGCTTCCTTTAATAACTTAACAAACTTCTACACAAAACAGAGCTGTATCCATACTAAGCATACTCTCATATTTAAAGAGCCCAGTTAATAGTATCTGAGGTGATAATTTACTCAGACAGGCGACATTTCAATGGGACAGTCAGCAAATAATTATAGCTACTGAGCTATATGAGCCCCCATGTGACGATGTACATAAACACACTTCCATCTTTGAAAACAAGCACATTAGGGGGTTTGCCCTCAGGGCATGTTCCACAGATAGAATCCAGGTTACTGCACTGGGTCCTACGGACTCTGCAGGCCATCTCATTCTACCTTTCCAAGAAGTGAAGCCAAAGAATCATATTCCATCCACAGCCACTCACCCTCTCCTCTTTCCTTCCTTCAATTTTTTTGCCTCCTGATTGGCTAATTAGTTATAGCTTCTTCCTCTACTCCCCTCATCCTGAACAACCTTGACCTCTTCTTCCTCAGAAACAGCTTCATTCTTTAAACTGCGTGGTCTCCTTGGGAAGCTCCCAACTTTAAGTATTCTATAGGTGGACACTCAACCTCGAATCTTTAATCCCAGCACTCAGGAGGCAGAGGCAGGCAGATCTCTGTGAGTTCGAGGCCAGCCTGGAACTCTGAGTCTGAGTTAGTAACTTACAAAATGAACTCCAGCACAGCCAAGGCTATTACTCAAAGAAACCCTGTCTTGAAAAGGGAATTAATTAACTAATTAAGGTATATGTTTCTTCAATTGATATGACTATCCCTTACATTTCTCAAATTCATTCTGACCAAGACAGAACACCTGACCTTACCTCCAAAGGTGTGCTGCATTTCCTTGTTTCAGGTCATGATGCCCTCAGGCCCACTGTGAAGGGACCTATCCTGAGAACTGCTCCCTTCCTTTTCCTCAGCATTCTCATCAACCACCACACATGGATTCAGATCCTGCCTTTCCATCATTTACACCATCTCAATTTAGGCACTGATTATTTTCCCCAAACATCCCAAACTTTCTCAGTGTGGTTTCTTATACCCTCTCCAATGGGCCTTAAATGATGCTATTACAGGGATGGAAGGTATATACCCTCTGCAACTAGATGGTTTGTTTTCAAATTCCAGCTCTGTCACTTACTTCATTGACACTGGGCACAGGACTCAACCTCATTGTCCCTTTGGGCATCATAGTAGTAAAGGACGGTGGTAATGCTTGCTTCACGGAATTGTGGGCGAAAGTGAATTTTATAGGCATAGAACTGTTATGTAATAGTCTTTCTGCACACTGTGATTATGTGTCACTCTGACTGGTTTAATAAAAAGCTGAATGGCCAATAGCCAGGCAGGATTTCCATGGCAGAGAGAACACTGGGGAAACAAAGGCAGACTCATCCAGACACAGAGGAAGCAGGAAAGCAGCATGGACAGAATGAAGGTCATAAAACCACAAGGCAGAAAGTACATTAATAGAGTTGGGTTGTTTTAAGTTATAAGAGCCACTTGGAAACAAGCCTACCCTATCGGCCAAGTTTCCATAATTAATGTTTCCCTATGGTTATTTGGGAGCTGGCTGGTGGGTCAGAAAAATCTGCCCACAGAGAATACCTAGAAAAGGCTTAGAGGGCAATGCTCTGTAAATATCTGCCATTGTTTGCAATTAGCATGAATCCAGCCATGCCACCTCTGTCTCAGAGCCCTTCTAGGAGTCTCAAGGCACACTAGGGTGACTACAGGTTCCTCGCTCTGGCATTCTGTCTGTCCCCAACTGACCTCTCAGTGTCATATTCCACACCTCCCCCATGTGGCATGTATACACACCAGGCAAAGTGAAGGACTGACTATGCCCTGAGCACCCTTCCTGAGCCTCCCTCCTCTTCCTCGCTCTTTTTCCTCTCACACCCATATCCAAAAAGAAAACCTGCCCATCCTTCAAGCCAGCCTTAACATCCCCACAGAGTCTTTTATGCAGGCAGGGAGTATAAGGCAGGACAACCAAACTAAGGACTTTGGGATGAAGAAGGGCAGAGTCAGAAGAGTCACCAGGAGATGCAGAGGAAGCAAGACATGCTGGAGGACAGATACAGCCACCAGCCACATGGCAGCAAATAGGTTAATAGAAACGGGTTAATTCAAGTTGTAAAAGCTAGTTAGTAATAAGCCTGAGCTATCAGCCAAGCATTTATAATTAAACATCTGTGTTATTTGAGAACTGGAAGGCAGGAAAAAAAAAAAAAAAAGACTGTCTATACTCAACTCCAACTCTAAGCAATCTTCCTGCCTCAGTCCCTTAAGTGATTATAAGTATAAGGCATCATGCCCAGCTCCCCCCCCCCTTGAGAAAGGGTTTCATTATGTAGCTCTAACTGGTCTGGAACTCTGTGTAGACCAAGCTGCCATAAAACCCACAGAGATCCACCTGCCTCTACCCGTATGCTAAAATTAAAGGGGTTTGCCACCATGCTCAGTTTCTTGTAGCTTCAGGTTCACATCCAAACTCATGAAGCGAACCACACGGCCTCACTAAGCAAGTCTGTCCTTGGAAGACACCAGGAACATGGTGGGGGGAAAAATATATATATATATATATATATATATATATATATATATATATATATAATCCTAAAGTACAAACACTAAAATCACATAAAACTTTCATTATTAGAACTTTTAAAAAGCCATCGTGCACTGTGTTTAGTTGATTAACTATAATCTTTTGTGAAGTCCACCACTTAGCAATCCCAAGGGAAGTGACTCAAACCTCAATAACTTAAGCTTGTTCAAATGCATATTAATAAGCCCCCCAGCACTTTAGTCACTGCACAAGGGAACATAATAGCATATATACACAGTCCCTACCCTCAGGCACACAACAGGTCCCTAGGCCCTCAACTAAAAAAAAAAAAAAAAGCCAGGACAGTGCCCAACAATAGAGTGTCCACTCAATAAACACTGATGGTGGTGACATCATCCAGGTGCCCAGGGTCAGAGACCAGGCTGCTTCTAACTCCATTCTGTCTAGAAGCCTGGCTGCAATCTGACACCAGGAATTCAGACCTCTTTGCCTCAGCATCTCTAGGCATTCATGAACAGCAGCAAAAGGCTTTCATTCCCCCTGGCACTTCAGCCAGTCATGAAGCATCCTCCTCCCAGCACTACTGAGAGAAATGTCCTGAAGATGTCAGCCCCAAGACCCTCTAGGATGAAGTAACAATTAAGGATTATTTTCAGTCAGATACCACAGGGTTTTTTTTGAAGGTCCACAATATTCCCTCTTCAAGACCTAATGGCACCCCTAAATCCTGAAGCAAAAATGCCTATCTTCTTTCTAACAGAACCAACCCTAGAAAGCTCTTTATGGTTCATTTAACTACGCTCATTTGACTGTCCACTGGATTATGATGGCAACAAAGTAAAATTAAATGTCTAAATTAGCATATACGAGGCTCGTTTGAAATACCAGCTCTTTTAGTAAAAGGATATAAGTCAATCCTGCCTTTCTACTACTCCTTATCCTCTACTGCTTTAATCCCGTGTAAATGTATTTCTCCATTAATGTGGTACTGTGCTTAGAATATTCATGTGGCCTTTTCCTTTACATCCATGGGCTTTCACAGAACTCAGTTCCTGGTTCTGATTTTTTCACTCTTAGATCTTACTCCAGAGATGCAAAATAACAACAAAATAGTTATTGCTATTTAGGCAGTCCTCTATTACTCACAGGTAGAAAATAATAATGCCATCAAGTTGGGGCACCTAACTAAAATAATTCAATCACACCGGAAATCTTCCTCATAGAACCAAGTTGGACACCGCTCCCTGCAGTCCTGTGTTCCACTTTCTGAAAACAGGCTGTTCAAACAACATCCTTCTGACAACAGAAGCTTTGTGGACTTCGAAGCTTAAGCGCCTGTAGTCTACACACTGCCCTGTGGGTGCTCCATAAATACCTAGCGACTGATTCACAAGCCAATTACAGGTCTGGTGACTGCCTGGTCCCACTCTGGGGAGTATGGTGAATCCACAATTGCTGTTGGAGTGGGAAGAATCAATATCCATTAAATTCTAAAAGCACTACAACGTTGACAGGGCCAAAGTATGTAAATTTTGGGTGCACCCCCTCCCCAAGCCCATGAACCTTAAAAAGCTAGTAATGCCTCCAGAACTCTTGGGGGAAAGTGAATAAACCCGCTTATCAACCAACGAGCTAAATGGTTCACGGGGGTGTGCCCCCCGCAAAAAAGAGGGAAACTTACTTTTCATAGACCAGCTCCTCGTCGATGGAGAAATAGTGGGTATTTATTGTGCTTTTTGGTCTATTCCTTAAAGTAGCAAAATATAATCGATCTGAAAGACAAGTTTAAAAGACAAGAAAACATGAGAAGCAGGGAAGTGAGGCTGAGAGTGCAGATCATACATGACGGATTAATAATTGCTAGACATCAATCATTTAAAGACCTTTTAACTCGTGGGATTCTTGTGGAAACACGATCTTGCAGAAAGCCTCGGAGCCCCCAAAACGCACAACTTGCCAAGAGGCTAGACGAGGACCCAGTAGGGGGCAGAACATCTGCATTCCCTCACCCCCCAGTTGCGTGCCGGCGGGTGCAGACAGGAGCTGTGGGTACCCGCAAAACTGGAGACACAAGTTTGGTTCGAAAACCTCCAGACCTCAGCTACTGAGGAACGAGGAGAGGCGAGTTTTTCCCCTGCAGCTTAGCCGACTTCAAGAGGAAGGAAGGAAAGACAAGGGGGTGTGGTGGGGGGGGTGTACTGAAAGCACAGGCCAGCCACCGAGGGGCAGAGGATTTAGCAGACAGATGATTAAACCGAGCAGGATCCCCCAAGAGAGGTTTGGAGGAGGAGCCCAGGCAGAGAAGCCCGCACTGTCCGGGTACGAGGAAGCTGCAGAGGGAGAGAGGACTCGAGAAAGAAGCCGGAAGCAAGGGGTCCTCCGGGAGCTGAGTGGCGAGAAGGGGCCCAAGCGCCAGGCAGCAGTGGCTGCGGGACCCGGGGCCGAGGAGAAACCCAGGGCAGAGGCTGGGACAAAGGGGAGAGCCGTGGAGAGTTGGGGGTGAGGGGAGTGGCGTGGAAGGGCCAGAGGATGCCGGGCGGCTGCTCCTCACCTTTCATGAACTCGCAAGCCCCGATTAGTTCCCCTGACTCCGCTGCCATCTTAAGCGAGATCCGCACGGGGGGAGGGCTGGGTCGTGGCCAGCTGAGGTCACCCGCCCCCGGGGGCTTCCCCACTGCCCAGGAGCCGGGAAGCTCGCGGTACCGATCACCGAGCCCGCCTGAGGGAGGAGGCGGGCGCCCAAGGCGGAGGCGGCTGCAGGGTCAGCGCGCGGGGCGCCCCGGGGACATTCCGTGGGGAACCGAGCCCGCTGGGCGCGGGACGCACACGCCCCAGGCTGTAGCCGCTGCGATCCTGACTCTGTGGCGGCGGCGGCGGCTGCTGCTGCTCCAGCTGCAGCTCCTGCTGCTCGAGCTGCTGCCGCTGTACAGTCTCCGCCAAGCCTGGGCAACACACACCAGCACGCACGGCCGGGCAAAGTCTTCCCCCGGCTCCCAAAGTGATCATGGAGGACGAGACGTTTGGCCCGGATCGCACCCGTGGCCACTTGTGCGGCAGCGGGCAGGACTCCGGCGGTGCCCGCGGGGCTGGCAGCAGCTGCTCTGACTCCTCCTTCGCCACCTCCTTTCAGCAGCAACTCTTCCTCCCTCTCGTCCTCCTCCTCCTCTCGGGCCCGCCCCCAGACCTGCCTCCCCGCCCTCCCTCGTCCCCCTCCACTTTCACGGCTCCGCGGCCATCCCTTAAAGGGACAGCCCGGCTCCTTTCTCCGCGCCGGCCTTGGGGCCCCAGTTACCAAGCGCCCCGCGGGTCACTAGGAGCCGGTTGCTAAGGCTTTGTTGCCTTTCACCAATTGCTACACAGGAAACTTGGCCCTCAGCCCGGGTGGGGGTGGGGGATGTCAGGCGGGGCCAGAAACTTATGAATGAAAAAGATGGGTAGAGAGGAGTGGATGCCTCCGAGGAAGCCACTGCAGCCTGCCAGGCAAGGATGTTCTGTTTCCACTCCTCTTTCTGCATTCGTTAAGTCTTCTTCCACACCAGATTTTTCTTATCCCTCTTCAAGCTCTTTTTCTCCCGCTCCACTCACTCGGTTTCTTCTAAACTCTTGTGTGTGTGTACACACACACACACACACACACACACACACACACACTGAAAAACCTCAGACCTTCTCCATGCCGGGTCATACATAGCCAGCTTTCAGTCAACCCCTATATCCACCACCGGCGGGATCTGTGTGTCTTTACGCGCAAATTTAAAGAGAAGCGCTACGTCCTAGCTCGGGAAAACGTGGACTGATGTCCTCCACGTACTAGTCTCTGCTCTCACATGGGCTTTGTTCTCCAGGGAAAAAACATTTCCATACGGTTCTCCAAGTCCTATCATTTTGGCCACAGGCGTGAGCGCAAAATCAACACAGACGTCTAAGGCTCTAGTCTCGGGCTGTAGGCTATCGGGGCGAAGTGGAGAAGAGGGAAAGGAGCCCTTGTGCTGGGGGGGAAAAAAGGAATAAACAAAAGATAATCTCTTTAGTCTCAGCTGGAGCGCTGAAAAGAGTACAAAGGTTCCTCTCCAGGAGGCCCCGGACTTGTTCTGCAACGTTCGGAATCCAGTCTGAACAACTTCAGTGCTGTGCGCCCTAGGAACGTAATTAGTGGTCAGTCCTTCCCTTACGAAAATGGCGCTACTGAGCTACTATCACCAGAGCATGCGCTCTGAGTGGATTCTCCTTGAAACAGGGATCTGTGTAAGTCTTGGGTTCTCTGTTGCTTGTTGACCTCTAGGGAGAGAGGGGGCGCTAGAGCGAAGAGACAATTGAAGTGATTAGGAACACTGCCACCAGGGAGACAACTCAAACTCATGCATGGTTCTTAGGCCATTAACCTGCTTTGCTGCTTTCCAAAATGCTAACGGCACAAGGTGGATACTAATTTGATATGCAGAAAAGTTATTTAATTAGCTACACACATCGTTGGTGAGATAGTTAAAAACACACTCTATCCAAAAGTTAACCCCCAAACCTCATACATGGAAAGCCAGAGGAATTATTAAGAACAATGGCCCCAAAGCCTCATTTCAAATATGAGGACTAGGGAGAGTAGAAGAAAAAGGAAAATTCAAAAGTTCTGAAAAGTTGTAATGAGCCTTGAACTTTTTGAAGTGTGTTACATATTCTGAGAGCTACAAGTCCTAGAGTTAACAGCAAAGACCTCTCAAACTCAGCTTTATTCCCCCAAATCTTGGTATTGCTATGATGAATAATTCCAATTATTTTACTGAAAAAAATGTAATTGATATTTTTGTACAAATGATACGGAAAAAACAAAGTATGTGAATCTCAATAGGCTTCGTTCACCCTTTGTCTAGTAAGCCAACCCAACTGAATCCATTTCTAAAGCTGCTGGTTTAAAATTCCTATAAAGAATTATTCATCAGAGTATTGTATTTTTAAAAGTGCAGTGAAAATAAAAGTTGAAGCCAGATATGGTGGCTTGTGTTTATTTATAATGGCCATAGCCATTTTACTCTTCCTACCATGAGGGCTGGAACTCAGGTCCTCAGACTAGGTGACAAACATCTTTACTCTCAAAGCCATCTCACAGGTCCTTGCTTGTTTTATGCTTGTTTTTCCACCCCTGAAACTGGGTATCTCTGTGTAACAGAGCCCTGGCTGTACTGAAACTCACTTTGTAGACCAGGCTGGACTCGAACTCAGACTCCCAGATGCTGGGATTAAAGTCATGCACCCCCACTCCCACCAGGCTGTTTTTTGGTTTTTTTGAGATAAGTCTCATATAGCTCCAGGCTGCCCTGGAACAAGGATGACAATGAACTCCTAGTCCTGCCAGGAATACAGGCCTGCATCACAACATCTAGCCATCATGTAATTGTTAATTTCATAAATTATCTCAGGAAATCCACAAATCACTTTCAGAGGGGCCAGATTTAATCGGATACCCTCCTGTTGTTTCCAAAAAATGAGTTTACATTGCCTTTCATATAATTCTCCTTAGAGATTTTGATCATGAGGAATGAATTGTGACCTAACAAAAGCCTTTGGAATATGTAAAAATGGGGGCTGAAAACATGACTTAGCAGTTAAGAGAGTGCTTCCTGATCTTCCAGAGGACCCAGATTCAGTTCTAGTCCCTCATGTCAGGAGGGTCACAATTGCCTATAACTCTAGCCCCAGGGCAGACAACACACTTCTGAACAAAACAGCAGCCAGACACATGTGACATATACTCACCTAGACACACACACACTTACATAATAATAAATTTCTTTTAAGAAAAATGGCCCTGGGGTTGTAGGTCATGTCTATAGTCCCAAAGCATGAAAATCTAAGACACACCTTGGAGGTGAGCCTGGATGACAGTGTAAGATAAGACCCTGTCTCAAGCAAAAGTTAAAATGAAAAAAATATTTTTCCTTAGCATATTTACTATATATCATGATAAAATTCTTCAATACTATGCTGTATGTAATATATAGTGCAGTGATATTTTGTTTAATATCTAACAAAATAAAGCCTGCCTGAAGGTCAGAGTGAAAGCTAGCCACACTAGTTAGCCAAAGAAGCCAGGCAGTAGTGGCACACACCTTTAATCCCAGCAAACACACTAATAGGCCATAGAGGCTAGGCAGTGGTAGTACACGCCTTTGATCCCAGCACTGGGGAAACAGATGAATCTCTGTTAGTTCAAGGCCTGGGCTGCACAAAATTGATCCAGTCTAAAAGAGAAACAGCTCACACAAAGGTGATCCCAGCACTTGGAGTGACACACCTTTAATCCCAGCACTAAGGAGTGGAAACAAAAAGGTTTATGGCTGGGCAAAGAGGAATTTAAGGTGGGAGGAGACAGGAGCTCAGAGCAGTCTCAGGCAGGCAGTATGAGGAGGCAGTCTATAGCAGTCTAGGCAGTACAGTCTCAGAAGTAGTTAGTCTGAAGCAGTCAGTCTAGGCAGTAAATCTAAGGTGGCAGTCCAAGGACAGGACTGCCCATTCAGTCTGAGGTAGAGGTAAGGGCCACTGGCTGACTGCTTGGCCTCTCTGATCTTTCAGTCCCTGTTCCCCACCCCCACTAATACCTGACTCTGGGTTTTTATTATTAAGACCAATTAGAATGTGTGTTATAATACAACTTTAAAGGAAAACATCAGTAAAATGGGACCTTTCAAAATCATACTATGGAAAAAGTCTGCAAGAGAAATATACACCAGTGCGCACACTGCACACATACACTACAAGATTCTAATGACATCACAAAACACATTATTATCTCAGTTATCATGGGTCAAAGTTCCTCCCGTCGCAATTTCACAACAAAGACATACTTTCACAGCCCATGGAAAAGGTAGCACTAGAAAGTTCCTCCCCATCACTCAACTTAATACAAATGTGAGGAATCAGCTTTCACTGGAAACGGTAAAGAATGAAAGACTGCCATAGTTTTTCTTAGTCAATAGTGAGATATTTATAATGTCACTTCATGTAGAAAAGGAAGGTGATATGTGCATGGATTTAGCGGATAGAGACAGGAAGAGGAGTGTGAACACTGCATCTCTAGCTAGCATCCTGTTAGGCTGCCCTGCATCCCACGCAGCAGTGTGCATGCAGAGCCAGAAAACACAGTTTGGGGGAAACTTCAAACTATGCCAACCACCTGCTGTCCAAGTGTAACCCTTAAGGTTACACCAAAAATTCCTAGTCACCCTTACACAACAGCTCTTCAAAAACGCAAAGCAGCTCTCTGACTGCCTCTTAGAACTCTACAGAATAAATACCTCATATTCCTCAACCTTCCATTCCATGCATCAAAGACCCTCCTCCCTTTCTGCTCCCTTCTCTTCACCAACTTGCCCACTTTTTCTGAACTATGTCCCAGACTGGGATGCAGGCCAGTACCAAGCTGGAGTGACTACTTATGGTATATGAAGGTGGGAAGGATACACTTTAAAACAAAAAGAAAAAGTAAAGACTGATGGAAACAAAAGCAATGAAAGCCATTAAAACCAAGCTGTATATATATCTGGCTGTAAGATAAAAAGGGAAATATGCTTTCACTGCAAGAGGTTAAGGAAAAACAAACTCAGGACAGTCAAAGGCTTGACAGCTATGAAATTTACATATTCTGTTCTCTAATTACTATCATTAGAATATTTCACTATGTCAGTGGTGATACTATCTAGG